TCCCTTCCAACCCAAACCATTCTGTGGTTCTGGAACTGGTAGCCTGTAGGGAATCACACAATGAGTATGACTGGAATCTTCCCTTTGTGTTTCTTTAGCCCTTTTCCTGTTTGCTTGGAGAATCCTCATGTTATTGATAAACACCAGCTCTGGGTTGGGATCATTCCGAAAGGACCTGATGGAGCTGTGCTTACTTCTACCTATGAAAGAAGGTAATGAACTTCCATGTGGAATTCTGCTTTGAAATTTCGGGTTCTGCTTACAGGAGGATGCTAGTGAAGTAAGGGGGTCTCTGTAGTGCTTTTCTTGGATAAACACTGTGCTGAATAACAACACCCTTTAACTGCTACTACTGAAAATTTAGAGTTTAGAACTTTAGGTCTGGAATGGGTCAGATGTCGAGGCACTGATAGTCCTTATTTGCCCTGGCCAACCTCAGCTTGGACCTTCACCCACAACCCTGTCTCTTACAGAGCAGTCACCCTCACAGACATGGAACCCCATCCTAAATTTCTTAGCTGAAGACTTAATTGACTGAAACATGTTTGCCACAACTATTTTTATATTTAAAGCTTCTCATCATAACCAGTCTCTCTTTCAGCTCTGTGTTGCCTTCTTAAGGAAAACATATCCAAATGTTTGTCAAGCTTTTCTTCATAGTTTTTCTTACTTTTCTCTGGTCTTCCATCATTTTGCCTCTGTCTTTGTGCTGTTCAGAGCAGACAGTGCTTCTGCTGCTGGCAGAGAAGGCCAGATGTTCCACAGAACTGGAAGGGGACTTGACATCTGTAATGGATCTTTACAGAGAAGCTGTAGTCTGAAAAAACCTCAGGCTGCATTTGTCATCTTCAGAAGCTTAATGTGCCATTTCAGTTTATTTTTGTTGAAGATATTGTCTTTTAAAAAGGGAAGGTTGAGGATTCCACCCTCCCCCAAGGGCTAGAACAAGGCTTTTTTTGGAAGAAGGGAATTCACAGAGTTCACTGTGTTTTGGCAACATCTGTATGGTGATACTGGTGTTTGTAGGTCTATAAAAACATCTATGTTAGGTTTTTTCCCTGCATGTATAATTTTTCTGGGAAAGCAGTACACAGAACTACAGGGCAGCAAAAGAAACCTAAAGACATGAGAGAACAGGTGAGTTTTCAGTCAGGGCTGGAAGAACATAAATATGGCTCATTGGAGAGCAGGGCTTTTCAGTTGAAGATGAAGGGATTTACTATGAGTAAATAATAACCACAGTAACCAAATTCACCCTTTTTGCCCTGTAGCAACCACACCTAGTTGATCAATATTTATTTTAAATAGTTTTAACATTAGCAGGCTTGGCAGCATTGTAGACTTCTCTGGCAGAACTCTCACTTTCATGTTGTTAGTATTAATCATAAAACTCATATGGCTTCCCATTTCTATTTGTGCATTTTGAAAGTATTGAAGTTTAGATGATCTGTGCTTAGTAATAGGAATATTTCATAGTATTAGTAAAGTGTAGTCAAGGTATTACTAATTTTTGTCCTTGGTATGGGTACCTGCCACAGGAAGGAGAGCAATTGGGAATCTGGATATGCTATTTTAGGTTTTAGATGATTATGATATTTAGATGTGTATGAAAAACATAGAAAAGGAAGTACAGTGATGTTACTTGATTTTTCTTCTTTGTAGGTTTTCAGAGGATTATTTGTCTTCTTTGGGAAAAACAATTGGTAAGTGGAGTGTGTGGATTTCAGAAATGAGTTGATGACCACAGTTTTTAGAAATCTAAAAAGAGCAATACTAAAGAAGGTGCAATAACAGGAAGGTAAAAGATCACAGTGCAGATCTGAATGCTGTTTGGTTTTGTGTACTTCTGTTTGCTCAGGCAGCTGGCTGCTGTGATAGCACACAAAAATGAGTTTGAGTCCCTGGCTTAATGTTTCCAAGTCAGGAGTAAATTTTTATTGTCAGGAGTTTGTGTTTGGGTCAAAAATGTGATTCCTAAACACAGAAGGTGACAGAAACTAGAAAATTAGAGGTGATGCAGCCAAGGGCCATTTGCAGAGCAATTAAGGATCACATGAAATTAGTGCAATTTCTTGTCTTGTTTCTGTTGGTTTTCCTCTGCAGTCTGGGTTCTCCATCCCAGGATGAAAAAGTCCTCAGCTACACACTTGTTTGTCTCGTTGCAGGTAACATTGTGCGAGTTGTACCACATGGGCTGTTGGTGTTCTTCCCGTCGTATCCTGTCATGGATAAGAGCCTGGAATACTGGAGAGTATGTTTATTGCTCTGCCTTTATTGGGTGGTTTGGTTACACACACTGGACAGTTTGTAGTTATGCTATTTAACCATGGTAATTAAAAACCTTCTA